CAATATGCTGAAGTGGCCCTCGGGGAAATTGAGTTTGGCACCCCTGAACTAGAGAGTGTAACATGAACATCACCCAATATTTACCAAAAATAAATTATTTTTACCTAAACCAGGAATAGTTTAGTCTGATTTAGTGTCAAACAGTGACAACATGAACCTAAACATCTACTGTCAACTGAACATGTTGTAGCTTAAATTTTAGCTTCAAATGTGATGAGTGAGGCTCCCTAATGGAGTAACTAGGTCACCTTTGAGTCCCAGGGAGACCCGGTGCTGCCAGGCTCAGGTTTATGAGGAAACACAGGGACAGAGCAGGTGGGACCAGCCGGTACCCCATGAGCAGACCTGAAAATACACAATGATGGGATCAAACATTCAGTGTAGTTTCCCCACACTGAACACTGTTACACTTCAAGATTTAATATGAAGTCTGATTTAAAAGGAAAACATTTTATACGGGAAACAAAACCAGATTTTTAAACTCATCTGCACAAATTGAAGGTCTCAAGTTCACGTCTGCTGATTTTAGCTTTTTTTTCTTCTTGAAATTAGCAACCTACAAAAATCAAACATTCTGCTTTCACTTTTAAAATTATAGTTAAAAAGGTCAACTTTCAGAAAACAACACTACAATGGAAGCCATTTTCTGCCTATCTTGCAGTAAAAATTAATGTTCTGCATCCCATAGTTCTGATTATTATTAGGTTTTATCTCATAAGTAAAACATGATCAAGTCATAAATACAGGATTCATTTATAAACTCTGTTCTCATTACAGAGGTGGAAATGGCTTCCATAAAAATAAAAATCATTGCTTTCACTGAAAAGATACAAATAAGATTCTCAAAGCTATGATACAGTTCTACAAATTAAAAATGTTGTCTCAACATTTTTATTTCGGTTTTTGCATTACATTTAAACCCAAAAGTCAGTTTTCTTTGAGTCTTGTAAATCTTCAGACAGTTTTAGAGCCATTCAGATTTAACAAATACATTATTCTGAATCCTTATTTATAGTCACATCAAAGAGAAGCTATTAGCAGAAGAAAATTAGCTAATTTGCTGTGATGCATGAAAAAAACCTGCAGATTTTATTCTCAGTTGAAGGGTAAGTAGGTCAAAATGAAAACTGCCCCTTTAAGATTAGTTATTGTTATACTTTGTTCTTAGAAATTCAATGTTTTATGGTCATTGCCTTCCAATTTTTCTCTTTATCAATAAACATTGTACTATTCCAAACGAGGATCAACAACTAAAACACATTTTGTGTCCTTTACTAAAAGTTAGAGGGTTTATCAGTGTATTGTTCATATATTTTTATTGTTTAAATCCCTGCAGCTTCCTCATACAGTCGATGCAGTTTGCTCCATTTCGTTGCAGCATTATCTGCCGCCGCATTCACACGACGAGACAAACAGGTTCCTGAATGATGTCTGTCTTTAACATCAAACCTCCATCTCGGATAAATATTTAAGGTCTTGTTAAATCCCAGGATCCTTAGTAACCTGGAAACTAAATATTTAAATAACCTTGCAGTCGGTGAAATCAGTGCAGCAGCTCTGTAACCTACACACCGAGCCTACCTGAATGCATAGCTGGAGTGTTGACAGGAGAAACGCGTTGATTTCCGCAGGTTAAAGGTTCATTTCTGAAAAACACCTCTGGCCCGTCCCGCACCGCCCCGCTCTGCAGCACTGCGCCCTCCCCCACTCTGGTCCCCGCTGCGGGTTTTGCTCCGTGGCAGGCTCCACGTGGAGGAGCCCGGTCTGTCTTTGTCTTGGATTTTCCTGCCACGCCACGTCCACAGTCACATTCCTCTAAGGGTGCGGACACACAAACCTGATATTTATTTATGTCATCCTGGGTCACTTCTCGACTTTCACTTCGTTTAAATGGGCGGAGCAGCAGTTCATTCGTGTGGGTGAAATGCTCTCAGCCGTTTGTTTTTGCAGCATATTTAGGGTTGTGATTAACGTGCAGTTTAAATCCAGAAAGCGCAGCGGCCTCTCCTGTATGGAAGACCAAAAATGCCAAAATGTAATAAATTAAATTCTTACTACAGAGGTGAGTAGAGTACCCACAATTGTACTGGAGGGTAGCACTACTTTAACACACATCTACTTAAGTAGACGTGTGTAAGAAATAACTAAGAAATGACTCAAGTAAGAGTAAAAATGTATTTGGTAAAAAGTCAAATCAAAATTTAAAAAAACGAACTGAAAAGGAATAACAAGTCATCAGTTCCAAACACAGCAGTAAGTTTGTCTCTGAATGGCTCAAAAAACCCAAAACGATGGGATTAAAATAGTTGAAGTCTAGACTTTAGTAAGATTAAGATGATGTGGGATTATTTTAAAACATTTTTCAATGTGGCTGAACGAAAACAAGAAGAGTTTCTCCCATATCCTTAAAGGTCGGACGATTACTTTTCCACACAGGGCCAGGTTAATAAAATCCTCATCTGAAAACTGGATTTACTTAGATTAAAATTACTGAATGTTTTCTGATCAATCCCTTTAAAATGGTTCAGTCCACACCTGGAAAATAAAGGGCAGAGCTACAATTCTACAATATGACCACAAGATGTCCCTGTAGCATTTCATTTAGCTCTAAGTATCATATTGCAATTCACGATATAGTTTTGTAGGAAATGTTGAATTGGCTACATGCAAATCTTTAAATGTTTAACATATTTTCATTAGATGCCACATCTTAGGAAGTACAAAGAGATTCAGTGACAAGTTTATAAAATATTTCCACCTAAAAAGAATTTCCAAAAGTTCAAATTATTTAGTTTTCCCAACCTTGAGTAAGACTTTGTTTTACCAAGTTATTGATAATGAAGTTAAGGAGCAGAGACGTACTTCAATGCCAACCCAGTTTAATCAGCCATCTTATCAGCTGCAGTAAAGATTATAAAGGCAACAACAAAGTGTTATTTACTTAATAGCAACATGAGTTCTTACGCCATAGAAACACGAGGATGTTTGTTTTTTTACTCATCCGGATAATTACAGATGAAACTACGCACACAAAAACAAACACAAGCTCACTTCCCACATCCAAACGAACGAGTCCTTAAGGTTTCAATACAGACAGAATAAACATGACAGGACACGTTTGAGCTGAAGGAAGAATTCAACTTTTTAAAGTGTGGCCTCCTTCCTTGACTTTACAAAAAGTACATAACTTTTTTTACATAGATTTTTTTCTGACAGATGGCTAACTATCTTTNCTTTAANTTTACNGNAGAATCTTCTCCCACGCAACAGCACAGCTATTAATACACAAAAAGTATTTTTCCTTGCAGGTTGGCATAAGATTTCGAGGGTTTTTGACTTCAGATGTAATAAAAAAAAATCATTGCATGATGTAAGGTTGCACATTTTAAGGAAACTAACAATGAGAGACCATATTTTCAGTAATTACCATATTGCTTCATATTAAATGTGGCTGTACACACATTATTAAAAGTCAATGAAGAATGTGCGAGACCTTCCAGTTGCAGGATGAAAAGAAAAGCATTACACAGGAGGTCAAGCATCTCTGTTCGTGACTGCAGCCCCATGTTGACTCGTTATTTCACAGCTGGTCGGTGCACAAGCATCCGACCAACGGCCGCTTACAGGAAACGGGATTACGCTGCAATTATTCACATGGTTTACTGTCAAATATGAGTATGAGAGTAAGATGTCTGTATTATTTTATGTCCTCCAACAGTATTAACTCCATATTTTATGCCTGCAGTTGTATTCACAGCATCGGGAGGGAAAATTACAAAAACAGACCAATTAATTACTCACGTTTAACAAATTTGTTCTTTAGCTGTTCATGTTTTCCTGCACATCAGCTTTACTATTTTCAGAACAGTTGCACAAATTGGATAGCTTTGCAAAAGTATTCACTTCCCTTAAATTTTCCTACATATTACAACAAATTTTATTGTATTTTATTGGGCTTGACTAACACAACGCATTGCAAAATTGTGAATATGATGCACGCTTTTCATAACTGATGTGTTTTGGTGTAAAAGTATGATGCACTTTGGTAATCCACCAAATGGTGTTTCATCAAAGTATTGACTCAAAGTGGCAAATACAGCTTGTAAAAATGTTTGAAAATAATTTCTTTCTTGCCTTCTGCCTTACAGTAATTCACTTTGTGTTGATTATATAAAGAAGTGAAGAGGTTTAATGGGCTTGAAAGGCGTTTTATCTATTTGACGGCCTGTATATAAGGTTAAAAAATCTCCAAAAGTGCACAAAAGAAAAAAAAAACAAAGGTTTTCCCTAAAGGACCGTTTAGTGACACTGACTTTTCTGCACAGTGTCACAGAACTGCACGTCTTTGTTTTCTTAAGCATGCTCACACAGCCATGACGCTCACACATGTCCCAAACTGAGGACATCCCTCCATTACATAACAGGGATTAGGCTCCTCTTTTTGGTGGCCCCCAATAGTGAAAACTGTGTGAGTCTATTTTTGACCTCTGGACCTCGGTGTCATTTCAGTGTACGCTCACTGCAGCAATTGGTACATGCCGTCCCAATCTGCATTCAGTGTGTGGGGCTCAAACTCTCTGAACGGACGCAACTCAAAGCTCGGCTGTCTGAAAACTGTCTTTGTGATTAATCCTCTTGCAAAATTTAATAGTTTAGATTCTTGTGAGATGGGTTTAGGAGCAGGTTTGGTGATCAATTGGTAAAATGCAAACTGCAAAAATACAAGTATTTTTGTCTATTATTTTATAGCACACTTGAAATCAGACAAAACTAATTTAGAAGTGACTTTTAAGCTATTTAAAGGAGCTTGTTTTAGTCAATAATTCCTTAATTTTGAATGTAAAAAGTACTTGCTCTTTTGGCAGGTTCAGTAAATTAATCTGCAATGGGTCTAGTATTTTTTCATCCATATTAAGGAATTATTTACTTAAAACAAGCTCTTATTCTTGCTGCAAAGTCACTTCTACATTAGTTTTATCTGATTTCAAGTGTACTAAGATATTTGCACTAGAAACTAGACCGAAATACTTTTGTATTTTTTCAGTGCAGAAACATCAAGAAGATTAAATTAAATGATGAGTTTGAGAAATATATGATGACATTTGCATATTTTATTTTGTCTTTAAAATATGAACATGCATTTTGTATCTGACAATTGCGTTGTGTCGTAATTTTTAAAATCTGTAAAATGTTACACATGTGAAACGTTTTCTCATGTGAAAATCCTGTTATAAAATGTGAAGATGTGTTTTACTTTTGTAGGAAATCTTTCCTACGTGTCACATATAGATTCTTGGTCAGAATCGCACAAGGAGGATATTTTTCTCTGCACACCAGTGTAAACACACTCATGTCTAAACACAGATGGAGGGCAGTTTCACATCATGAGCGTCAAATTGGAGACTTGTGTCAGAAAATGTTCTCAGGACATGAAGGGTTATTTTTGCAGGGGGGCTCCAAACAGTCAGGGCAAATTAACTGGAAGATTTCTTAATTGCAGCCACTCAGGAACATGACTTGGACATGCGTAAATGACATGTGGACTCAATGTTTTGAAGTGCATAAAAAGTTCTGTTTCCATGAAGTCAATGGGCAGCTGTGAACTGCAACACAGTTACACATAAACGTATGGAAAGGTCAACTAGAAAGACTTGCACAAAAATACTTACATGGTCACATGGAAACACTTGTAAAATATGTTTCAGACAGTATGGAAGTAATTTAGCATCTTACAAGTTTATATGGGGCTCCAAAAGTGTCAAAAAGTATTCATACATGTTATTAAATATATAAGGTCAGAGATTTCTTCCTACCTGGAATTGATAAAGTTTAAAAACACATATGATCTTTTGTTTTGGAAATCCCATTTGTTTTAGGAAATAACAGCTGCTTTTTGGCAGGAAGGTTACCTGAATGTATGTCTGGATCCCCATGTGTCCATTTTAACTCCTAAATGTAAAACTCTGACATTTTCAGAGAAATACAACTCAGCTTCCATGTATAGTGCATGTCTAGACATTTGCTAATAATTTTGGCATATTTAATGTATGAGCTATGGCATTCAAAAAGAGCCTAAAATTAGCCTTCTAAAGAAAATGTTAATTTTCCCAAACATTCGAACATTTCTAAAAGAAAAGTCCTTATGCTCTTGAAGGGGACCTGTTGTGCAAAATTTACATTTTGCTTGTTTTTCTTTTTGTTGTTTTTGTTTGTTTGTTTGTTTTACATCCATTTGGGTCTCAACTGCTTCTGAAAACAAAATCTCCAGAATGTTAAGTCACGATCAACAAGTACTGGGCCGTTACTTGGCAACCACAGCAAAGCTCCAGCACATTTGGTCAGCTGATTTTACTGCTGTTTGCGTTGTATAATGGCTGCTGGAAGAGACAAGTGTCATGTTGTTGACTTTCCATCCAGAAACTATTAGTTGGTTGTGCAGGAGGTTCTACTTCTGCTTTTCAAAGCTGTATGGTTGTAAAACTGTGCATCTATTTGCATCAATTTCATGTTTTGAAACTGAAGAATCTGGTACCTTTAAAAAATAAAACTGAAAATATTAAATGTTTAATGAAGTTAGTAATTTTCATAGGTAGTGTAGTAGTCAAAGGTACTTTTATCACCATTGATAATTACATCCAAAAATGTTAACTCATATATAGAATGCATGTATGCACACATGCACATATTTTTGGCACATTTACCACCCCATATATTCATAGTATTTTGCATTAAATGCAAAATGTGTGCTGTTCTTCATCACTTACTGCATATTTACTTCTATTCACTTTGTCCTCATTCCGAAAGTACTAAAAAGAACACAGTAATGTATTTTTTATTGTTATTGATTTCTTAATTCTCACAGTTTGTATCTGAACTGATATCTGATATTTTTTATGGTTGCAGTTTTTCCATCTCTGACAGAACAATGAACTGTAAATTATTCCAGAGAACTAAAGGAGAATCTCAGCACATCTGTCTGTGAACTGAACCACAAAACAAAGTGGGTCAAGGAGCAGGACAACAAGCTGATGGCACAATGCATCCTGCTGCAAAATGAGTAAAGAAGAATCAACTCAATGTTTTGGAAAGGAGTAGTCAAAGTCTTGACCTTAATCCAGCAGAAAAGTTGTGGAAAGGCATAAAGCAAGACGTTTGGGGGAGAAAACCAGCAAACAAAACCCAGAACAAAATGTTCTGTACTCACCATTAAAGTCTGAAAATATTTAAATCTATGTAGAGCTTTGGAAAAAACTAAGAGCCCACTGCACTGAACCCCACTGAAAACCTCCTGGTTATTGAATATGAACTTGTTTTCTTTGCATTATTTGAGGTCTGAAAGCTCTGCATCTTCTCATTTTCTGTAAATAAATACAAAATGTTTGCTTCTAATTTCAGATAAGTTGTCAGAAGTTCATAGAATAAAAGAATAATGTTCATTTTACTCAAAAATATACATATAAAAACTAAAACCAGAGAAACTGATAATCTTAAGTGGTCTATTAATTTTTTCCAGAGCAATGCAAAAAAAAAAAAAAAACTCTTACTGGAAGCTAATTTGGTAGAACATTTGGCTTCAGTTTAATTTTAGAACAGTTGGAAAAAGAGCTTCAATTTGGTGCAAACCTGACAAAAATGTTTGATGAATGAGCATAAATAAAGCTGCATATGATTAAAAATTATGTGCCTGTGGTTTCTCTATTAACATTATAATTAAAAGTTCCTTTATTAGTTCAGATCCTGTGACTTACAAATTGTTAAGCTAACAAACGCCCCATATAGTGGAGACATTAAGAAGCACTTTTATAGTGGAGACACTTCATTGAATAGAAGGAAAATATTTGCTCCATGTATTATTTTTATCCTTCAGACAGACTACCTATCACTGATAATAAATGGCAGAAAAACAAGTTAAATGAGAGTTCTATCTTTAGTACCTGCAGCATAAATTGACCATAACTAAGAATCAGCATCACTGATTGTTGCTCTGCAGACGAACTGCGGTCATTAAGCAGCCCGTTTGTAAAGGATGTGCTGCAGCTCACAGATATGCAGACACACTGGCATGTTAATCCCAACTGCAACAACATTTCTTCAGACTGGTCAACAGTTCTCAGAAAAAGAAACTCTGGAAACATTTCCATGGTGCATTTGTTAAAGAGCTCACAAAAATGGGCTTTAATGAATCCAAGAACTAATTTAAACGTGATTGGTTAGAGATTAAGTGAAAATGATGTAAAGCTGAATCAATGAAACAGAAAAACAAAGAGAGAAAGAAACAGAAGGTAAGAAATGGACATCATAAACAAAACAATAAAGGAATAAATGGATCAGCAGAAGCATGTTGGGGGTGACGAGTGTTTCCTGTGTAAACATGGAGGCTAATAAATGAACTAAACTAAGCTCAGCAGACTGAGAGATCAGGGGCAGAAACGCATCACAGAGGATTTATGAGGCAGAAACACAAACTAAAGATTATGTAAGATCAGACTGGCCTTTCTGTTATGAATTAGTAAGTTTTGAGACATTTTAAGAAATACAGTTTCTTAAAACACTCATGTTACTATCTGCATTTTACAATGACTTCCTGTGATGGCCTAAGAAAAAGTAGTGAATAAAAGAAAATGATAAAAGGCTTTCAAACTATCTGAAAAGTGTGGTGGGCATTTATACATTCCGTTCATTTTGATGCACATGAACTGCATTTCATAGCACACCAGTTTTTATGCAGAAACCTTGAATGGTTTCTTAGTGGTTTTGTCCATAAGCAGGAACAGAGCAGACTGGACTTCTTGAGGAAGCTGAGATTCTTCAAGGTTTGCAGTAAGATGATGCAGTTAAATATAACTATAAGAACTTATAAGTATAAGTCTGTTGTTGAGAGCATCGTCTTTTCTCCCCTTATCTGTTGGGCAGCAGCATCAGAACCTAATTAGTAAAAAGAGTGTAATTTCATTTAGGTATAAACCAGATCCTCTGGAGACTTCAGATAAAGAGAACATCAGTGAACAAATCTCATAATGAATACCAAGAAATGGACGTTTTAGGGAGAAAATTAAGTTCAAAGTTTGTTTAGGGTTTAAAACATTATCCCAAACTTTGATAATTTGATTGTATACACATTTTTAAATGAAAAAGTACCACTGCAAATTGGTGTATTTGTTTGCTAATGTACATTCAACAAATTTATCAAATTAACATTTGAGCTGATACATGAATTAGGCTCTTTCCACAAACTGCATGTTTATTTACAGCATGTATTCAGAGCTGTAAGTCAGAATGGATGTTACAGCGAGCGAGCCAGGAATCCGCACATTTAAAGTCACACAGGCACCTTCTATGTTTAGCAGAAGGAGTGGGCACATAATTAACCTTTAATTGTCGGGGTTCTGAGGTGGAAACACCAACAATTAAGCAGCTATTAATTTCTCATTTGGATCTGAGAGAAGGAGGAGGAGGAGTGAGAGAAGAAGAAAGATGGAAAAACAAATGGAGCCAGAGACATGAATGTTTGAGTCTTTGGAGGCTGAGAAACATTTTGAACATGGACGTTTCAAGCATGAACCACAAACAGCACCAGAAAATACTGAATACTTTAAGTAACAGCACATTTAATCCACAGTTTGTAGCCTTTTTCAGTCTCGGTTAGCTTGTTTGGTAAAGCCTAACCTGTGCAATCAACCTAAGAAAAGTTTCAGATTTGACTTCAGGCTTATGCAGAGCAACAAGGAAGGTTTTCCTTTCAAATTTCCATTAAAATACGATCAATAAACATATTCCTTAGTTTTTCACTCTCACAATCCTCATTTTAGGGATGCAAGTTATCAATTAAACTATTAATTTAAAGTTGACTGATCTTATTGATCGACCAATCCAAAAATAAGTCGGAAAGAATAAAATATGTGAAACACTTGATCAGAGGGGTGTTTGTACAGTAGTACTGTTTGTGGTTGCTCTTGAAGGAGTTTAAATTTGCTCTATGCAGTGCTTTAACTCACGGCTTCTCTCAAAATAAAACGTTAATGCATTTTTTTTCTCCGTTATCTCCTCCGCTCTAATGTCATCCGATCGTGTAGCACTAGCACATCAGTCGTTTTTGGTTGGTTGCTGAATGAGCGATTTTAAAGCGATAATTTCTCCCTTAACTATCATTAAGATACGTTTCGGAGTTTGTCCAGTGTTTAAATTTCAAAACGGCGCATAAAGTGCATTTTGTATCCCACACCGGTCTGTATTTTGACCTTTACTCTTTCCCGTTCTGGTCCGCCATCTTTGCTTCCGTGTCAACGGCTCTACAGGACTCTCCGGTCATCCCGAAGCGGACGGCTCCGCTTCGGGATGACCAGTGGCGCCCTCTGCTGGTTGGCGGCCAAACTACAACACTGAAAGCAGATCTAAGCGGATGTTAAATGTTAATCGACTGGAATTAAGTTTGATTTAATAAACCGTTAATCGACAATTAATCATAAGTGTGCTGTAAATTAGGGAAGAATGTCTTTCGTTTCTCTTTTCTTGTCATTTATGAGAAGTCTGTAAAGAAAGTCAGGACTGACAGTGTGACCATAGTGGTGAGTAAGTATCCTAAAGCAAATAAGATGTGTTAGATTGCAGGGGTTGAGTGTGATAATAACGTAGCTGTGCGTTCACCAGCACCTGGTTTATAGCACCTGCTCTGGTTAAACATTAGAGAATCTGACCTCTGCTGCCCCATGTACATTAAATACACTCTTATTTTGATGTCGACAAATTATATCTGATGTTTAAAATAACCAAAACTTCACCATACTCAGACACACACCTGCAGTTTTTGCTAAAGTTTTATATTGAAAGAAACTGACTTGAAAAAAAAATTTCCTGATTTTATTTTTTGTTACTTATATCAATTATTGTAATTTTTATCCTTAAAATTCCAAAATTTCCACTTAATTTTATATTTTGGTCTGTCTGATTATGTAATTTTAAAATATTAAATGATTGATAATTTGATCAGTTACTGAATACTTGAGTAGACGTTTCACCAAATACTTTTTTTCTCGTACTTGAGTAATTTCTTGGATGGTTACATTTTACTTCAGTAAAATGTGTTGTTGAAGTAGTACTACTCTTACTTGAAAGCATATTTTTGGTTACTCACCTCTGATTACAGCCCTAATCCTAGCCTTCTGGCACAAACAGAAATATTTTGGCGCCCCCTCTAAGGCGGCGCCCCTATAATTCATACACACTTTTTGTTCCACGGTCAGAAACTAATGGGTGTTGAGGGCCTGTCCACGTTTGGGGACCACCTCTCCGTACCACGGACCTCCTCTCTTCCTCTCGGTAACAAGTCACCGGTGCGCTCAAAACCCTGAGCGCACACGGAGCGCGTCGCCAACTGGAGAACTGGCAGAAACCACAGGAGACAGAGAGACCAGAGAAACTGTTTAGTGAAAAATACCCCAATCAGCACCGACCAGTGTCCGATCAGCGCTGAAAGCCACGAAGGGAAGCAGAGGGAAGACGGAGCGCCGGTCCGTCCGCCCTCCTCAGCACCGCGCAGGGGAGACACGCATCGGAGGAAAGATTCCCCGCAACGCATTGAAAGCTTCTGGTGAGGAGAAGAGGAGAGCGGAGGGCATCGGATAGCCAACCACGACAAGTGAGTGAGGATTTTATTTCATCCTGATTGAGCTCCAGGAAACATCTTATATTGATGTGAAGTGGTGCATTCAGTTAGAAACATTGTTTTACCTCAAAACGCTCACCTGAAACTTTACACAAACATTTTTAGAGGTTAACTTAGTGCTGCATGTTTCTTTAACAAGTGTAGAAAAATATATTTGAGTCATTTATTTCCTAAGTTAGGCAAGTTTTTTGTTTATTACCATGAAAAAGTCAAAAATAATACATTTCTTGCACAGAAGAGGAGGAAATACAATATTTTATCTTTTTGTAAACAAACTAAAGTGGAAGGTAACATCAGTTTGTTATAATTTTTATAACTTGAACACAAATGCAAAAACTTTAAAGGGTTTTCCCAGAATATAAAGGAGTCTTTACATTTTATTCTGAAGAAGTTCAAGTACTTGTTATATTTTATACCATGTTCATACTAAAAGTTACAATCCAATGCATTTAAGTTTATTTAGCATATTAAAATGCACAAAAGGACAAAAAAATGACTGATAGGTTAAAGTGACGCAGTAGACAGCTCAAACAGTAAATACTTTGCATCCGATTGAGAGTAAATATAATAACTGTCAGTTATAAAGGAAAAAGGCATGAAATGTATCGCATTGTTACACCAAGTTGAGAAAACATTGTTTTATATATCAATAATCCAAAATATAATTGAGAAGTAGTTGCAGCACAGAGACTAGATAATTGTTTGGTAAAATTCCTCAAATGAATAATCCTTATCTGCAACCTACAGCATTCCTATAGGTAAAATTATTCTCTACTTGTGGGAAACTGCTTTACAAGACTTATGAGTTGTATAAGAACTATTTCTGTCTTTTGCTCATAAAGTTCATTTTGAAAATTGAAGTAGATCCAGAAAGTGTTTCTGAAGAACTAAAAGTTTATGAAGAGCTGAAAGAAAAGGTCAAGTCCAAACCAGATCACAATGTGAACAGGGATAAACTAAACTAATTCATAAAACAAATTTAAGGTTTTCAGTGACAAGAGGATGATACTCCTCTTATAATACTAATATTTTTTATGAATGTATTGCTAATAAAAATGTATTTTCTCCAGCTCAGATTCTCATCATCAATAAAAAGTCCTGAAGTCTCAACAAAATCAGTGAAATGCTAAGATAAATCTCTGGAGTGTAACTCTTCCCACTGAAGATAATAAAACTGGATTTTTTTCATATTTAGTAAAAATATGTTCAGTTTAAGCCATGATAAGTTGTGCAAGTTCACACACTAAATCAACGCGATCATAAGAGCTTTGCTACAAATAGTACTATTATGACAGACCTAAGAGCATAAGAAAATAATTTTTTAATGAATGCATATTTATTTAACCATGTTGGTGTGCTCTCATGGGAATGTGTTTGTAAATTTACCAATGAACAGTAAGTAGTCCTAGCATGGATTCCTGTACAATCCCACTTATAATACTCTGCCTTTAGCTTTGATTACAGCTTGCATTCGCTGTGGGTGCCAGTGATTTGACCTTTGACCTTTCTTAAACAGACTGACATCTTTTCCAGGACCACAGGATGACTGCTGGCATGGTTGTTTTAGAGATGAAACTCATTGCATCAGTTGAATGGGTTAAATATCTTGTTAGTAGCTGAAAGATGGTCGCGCATTTAGTAATTATCCAATAGGAAGCTTCTGTTAGCTTGGCTAAAATAGGAAACGCTTCATGTGATCATGTGATCGGCTACAGGTCAAACAGGCAAGAAACTTGATAGACTTGTTATTAATTTCTCTATTAGTGATAACCAAGAAAGATTAGTAAATATGTACATAAGTAATCAGAAGTGGGTAGGGTATCTGAAAATTGTGCTCAAGTAAGAGTCGCACTACCTCAATTTATTTTTACTCAAGTAAAAGTAAAATCCGACTCAAGTTCTGAGTGACAGATTAAAACATCAATTATTTAATATTTAAAAATTACATCATCAGTCTCAAGTAAGAGTAGAAATACTTCTTAATAAAGTTACTGAAGTAAAAGTAACAATAACAAGCATAACATAGTAAAAATACTCCTAAATTAAATTTTTACCAGAAAGTTACTCAAGTAAATGTAATATTACTGCACTCTGGAAGTAATAACATAAACAGCATAACTTTTAAATAAAAATGTTCTGTTTCCGTCTTTTTTCTCTTCAAATATACAACTTTGGATTTTCCAAAATCACATCCATTGATGGATATTAAGAGGACATTTTTAGCATCAACTTACTGCCAAAAACAGCTGGGTGTTTTTAAACTGTTGAGACCAAAATGGAGGCATGAAAATGTGCAAAATGTGAATCCTCATAATAGATCCCCTTTAAGAAAGACACATGAAGATCCAACAAAATTACCTCACTGTAAAACAGTTGAGCCACATTTAGTTGTATCAACTATCTTCTGCTCTTTAAGTCAAATAAATTTAAGGAGTTTCAGATTTTGATCCTAAATGTGAGTATGAGAAAGATAAATTTACAGTAGTAGGTTGTGTTAACTTAATAAGAGTTGAATAAATTAGAGTTTTTAGGTTGGCACTTAAAAAACTGAAAGAAGAAAAAGAGGAAGTGGGAACTATTTCCCAGAATGCTTAGCAGCTGTTTTTGTATTCAGAGATGGAAGTGTGTTACATGATCTGATTTCTGTGTTTTTAAGGTAAATGTTTATTTTAAATCTTGAGGATAATCTCATGTTTTGAGCTGAATTCATTGTGATGTTTAATAAAATTCATTATCAGATCAGAAATTTTGTTAATGTAATTTGAAACCAAAATTTAAATTATTCTAAAGTAAAATAATTATTTATTTTAACATGATAATAGAGAAATGTGGCTCTTTAACCAGGTGAGGGCTGTTTTTATTTGCATATTGTGAAATAATTATTTGGTTTAAATTGCAGCATTAAGTTAAAACTCACAATTCAAGATGAATGAACTTAAAAAACAATGTTAAACAACTTGTCTCTTGTTATATCAACTTCATAAACTTTAATTTCTGAGTTAAAACCAAAACATTTTTCTTGTTGACTTAAGTTGCATTTCAAGGCAGTAGGTAGATTTTCATTTCCAAGTTAAACCATTCAGTTTCACTTGAAACTACACTGTTTTACAGTGTAGTGAAACTCCAACCTATATACTTTTAATCAACAACTTTCCTTCCTGGATGCATTAATTCACACAACAATTAGACAATGTCGACTCATACGGTCGATATCTATAAATTACTTTTATCAAGACAAATAAACCAATATTTGTGCGTAAGAGAGGAAATGGATGGTGTAAAATGAGGGGCAAAATGTGAATAATTTAAATAATAATCCAGTTTTTTCCATAGTGGCAGCTCCAGACTTATTGGACCCAAAATCAGCCACTCACAACACGAAGCCTCGCCTCTCCTTCTCCACCAAGCCAATCACACTGACGCCTCGGGAGGAAAGTGAGGTGAGGAATCAAACCTAAGAAAGCAAAAACTATCCAGACAGAAGTCATTTTAGAGAGTTGCTGAGGGCTGACTGACCAGCCGAAGTGTTGCAGGTCGTGGCCACAGTGATGAAGTGGAAGACGGTGACCGCCATCTTTCTTTTGGTGGTTCTGTACCTGGTGATAGGAGCCGCCGTCTTCAGATGGCTGGAGCAGCCTCATGAGAGGTGGGCGTCTGTTTTCATTTCACTATTACTCCTCCAGCTTCATTATTTTATCTCTGAGCCTCAAAAACTCAGGACAGCTTCACATCAAGAACCCTCACCACTTCTATAATTTAGTGTTTGAAGGCGTCTCTACTAGCTTTGGGAGTCTAGAGAGGAAATTCTTCACAACCTCGAATATTTTGCAGCGTCTAACAGGTTTTTAGCTTCCTCCATTTTATATGGAAGGAAAGCATTCCCACAGCATGACCCTGCCAGCACCATGTTTCCCTGAACTCCAAAGTGACCAAATGCCATTTGGCTGTTTCTCAGATAATTGGCTTCAATAAGAATAAAAAACACACAGGTGGACTTTACTTAGCCATAAAGTGACTTGTTTTTATTTATTTATTCTTATTAAGTGGGATCACAGGAATGGAGGATGAAGACAAATGTGTGACACACTTTTCAGATTTGTAATCGTGAAATATTTCATTTCTTTTTTTTTAATGTAGTTGTTTATTTCAAATAGAAAACAAACAACAGGATAAGACAAAACACATGGATACATAAACAAGAACAAAATAATTTACCACTACTGTTCTGTGAATACTTATTTAATTCAACACCTTATCTCAATTTAATACAATATATTATGTAACTATCAGAAATTTGTAATTAAAGTAATTTTATTCACATGCATGTTCAGTATACTGTGCTAAAGAACGTACAAATAAATTATATTGTATAAGCAAAATTATTTCAAGACAAGAAAATCTACAGATCCGTAATAATAATATTAGTAATAATAATATAATATATTATTATTATACTTATATTTAATATTATATATATTAAATACTACTATTATAAAATAATAGTAGTATTTAAATCCTGTCATTTTGTTTCCACTTCACAATTAATCACTGCTTTCTCTCTTTCAATCACATCAAATCTCTATGAAATTATTTGAACTTTATGGTTTTATGATGTTTTAAAAGTCGTCAAGGTGTTGCATCGTAGTTGTGATTCTCTCTTGAGCCAAATCTGGTTTTGATCCATCTAAAAAAAAAAAAAACTTGGTTATTCATTAATTTTCCGACAGAACAGGTTATTTTTTCAAAACAGGAAGAACAAACTCGGTCTCTCCCTCTTTCAGTGCCCAGCGTTTGGCCATCCTGTCCCAGAAGCTGGACTTCCTGTCCCAGCACTCCTGCGTCAACCAGAGCCAGCTGGAGGAGCTGGTCCAGGTGAGTCGGCACTGGGCCAGAACACACACACGCACGCACACGCTCACACACACACCTGAAATCCTGTCATGACACCATGATTTAGAGATCCATGATGACTATGGCCTCATTCCAAGATATTAAAGGAATTTGATTGTTCATGTTTTCCAGATTTTAAATTGATTTTACCATTTTATAAGGTCACTGAACTACTTTGTTGGCATTAGAAAACTTTCCATTTGGTTTAAAGGTCATATATTATGCTTCTTTGAGCAGGTTAGGATAGGTTAATCCAACATGTTCATCACATGTTTTGCACAAAATCAATTGTAGATAAGATTTTTAGTCTTATCTACAACTAAGATAAGCTTTAGTCTTTAGTCTGACTTTAGACTGATCAGACTAAAATAGTCTGATCAGTTTTGTCTATTTTGAGCTGCTATAGGATCTCTGTCACTTTAAATCTATATAAGCTGCTGCTGGCCGCACCCCCAACTCAATGTTCACACTCACTCATGAAAATGGCTGCAAACAGCTGTGAAATTACACAATCATTAATCATAGAAAAGCAGAAGTTGAGCCTCCTGCAGAACCAACAAGAATGCAGCAAGTGGTTTCTGGATAGTAAGTCAACATCAAAACACTTGTCTTTTCCAGCGGCCATTGTACAGCAAATAGAGCACTGAATTCAGCTTCATCTCATAAATTATTTACACAAACAGACACGTTTTTAATATACATATCTATATCACATACATTATTTCATTTATTTATTTATTTTGTGCATAAAATTTCTTAATCTGAGTTCAAATTTCAGACAAGAAAAGGCCGTATGACAATAAGAAACTTTGAATCCTTGAAAACCAGCTGAAAAAATGTGCTTGAGCTACGAGTGGGTTGCTAGGTAACGGGAAGGGGTTCCATGGTTACTAGGTAACGGTCAGTTCCTGCTGATTTGTGACGTTTTGAAATGGCTAATTTTCCAGACACCAAAACACATTAACTTATTTCCAATAATCAGCTGAGTTTTTTGTTTTGTTTTGTTTTGTTTTTCTTAAGAGCTTTTGCTGTTTATAAAAGCAGTAGAGACCCAAATAGAAGTACAAAAGTGTGAAATTTGCATGAAAGGTCACCTTGAAAAAAGATACACGAAGATCCAAAAAAGTTAATTACTATGAAGTAAGAACATTTCCTCCAACTGCGACTAATTTCTGTGTTTTTCTGGTTTCTTCAATAGTGAATTTACTGACTTTTCTTGATCTCCAGTCTGTCTATTTATGATCTACAACTTTTCTTCCTGAATCCATTCATTCACGCAGCAAGCAGACTCAAATGTTGATCTTTTGTGTTTAGTTGGACTGGAGTCTCTGTTTCATCGTGTTCCCTTGATTTGGATCGATTTCACTGACAGACTCATCTGGAGTTATAACATGAATAATCTTCCTCCTGCTTCAAAGAGAAACTTTATTACATTAGTGCCACACAGACAGACTAACGGCATAATCGAATGAACCGATGTTGTTATCAATCCACCACCAAGTGTCAAACCTCAAACTGCTTTTAGCCAAATTAAAACAACTCCTCTGGCTTCCCGAGACACTTTTAGAAGAAATTATATTAATAAATCCAATGCATTTGTTCACACTTTGATATTTTAATCTGATGCAACCAAAACTCAACATTATGTTTCCACAGGGACAAATTGGTTTAAAGGAAATGATATGATTTGCAATAATATTCACAAACTGTTAACTTCCCCTCATTTCTTAAAAGGAGAAATTGGGATTTTTGCTACAGATCAATGCAAAGTAGCGAATAAGCATGAAGTTAAAGGAAAAGTTGAACATGATTCTTCTGTATGAGCTGGGCAACAAAATTCTTATTTTTAATATTAAATTTGACTTCTGAATTTATCAGATTTTTTTTTCTTAAAAAATTACAAATGACAGAAAATATCTTAAAGTTGGCTTTTACTTCAATAATTTATTCTCAATTGACTTGAATTCAAAATCAAAATAAACAGAAGAATAAAACATGCTTGTCAATTCAATTAAATTCAAATAAAAAAAAATACTTTATTGATCAAAAATAAAGATGGCAGTTCTTAGCATCACTCTGGAAAACCAAGAAGTGCTTTGGTAGAAAAAAAAAATCCAGATTTTCCAAAGATTAAATCTTCAAAAACAGAAAATTTGATTAATCAGTTAAATAAATGAATCACTCAGTTCTAGATCATTCTTATTTTTTTTTTTTTACCAAAGAAATGCACACAGAAACACTTTGTCCTGCAAATAATGCAACAAGTTGTTTGGAGTCTCCAGAAGCTTGGATGATTTAGGGAATAAACAAGATGCATGCCACACTTTTCAGATTTTCAGCCGTGAGCATTTTTGAAAACCAAATGTCTTTTTCCTCCCACTTCACAATTATGGTGTATCATAATCACAATAGTCCTAATGTAGGGATTCACTATGTTGTGGTTTTCTGTGTTCATGATTTTAGTAGATCACTAAGCTGAAATATGGAAAATGATCAGAATATGATGTGTTGTTCTAGATTAAACATAATTTGGTCATAATATCAGGGCATAGAAGCAGACTTTAGTTGAACTGATACACATATGTTGATGATTTGGCATGCAGAGTTCAGGACCAGGGACAGCTCCAGACTCAGACATGGAAAAACAAAAACTGAGTCCAAGAAAGCATCTCTGTCATCAGCTCTACCTCGGCTGTAGATCCAAACCATTTGTTTTCATGATCAGTTAATCTCAAACTGCATACTCAGTGTTTTCATATTTTATGATTATGAACAGACACAACCACAGCTTCTGTACATAAACATCAAATTATTTACAGCAGAATAAAAGTCGCAGAGCTTATTTCTCGGGTCTTATGGAGCCTTTTTCCTCCCCAGCAAGTTGTGTCTGCTGTCCGATCCGGGGTGAATCCTGCAGGAACTTACACCAACCACAGCAGCCTGTGGGACCTGAGCTCCGCGTTCTTCTTTGCTGGAACTGTCATCACCACCATCGGTAGGAAATTAAACTTATTGATCGAAAACGCCTTGTCAAAGTTTATTGCTCCTAACTTTTCCACATTTTCCAGATTGGCTATATCACAATTAAAGTATCTTATTGTGTGTTTATGTGAGTTATCAGTGTAAAATGTGTAAGTGCATTATTGATACGTTCAGAAATCTGAAAAGTGTGGCGTGTATTTGCATTCAATCTCTTAATTCTGATATATAAAAACAAATGGAGTCCACCTCTGTCGTTATTTCACATCTGATCTGTAGCAAACTTAGAGGTTTGTTGTTGATCATACGTGAACAAACACAACAATTAAGACAAAGGAACGCAGCAGACAGATCAGGAATCATGTTGTAGAAAAGTGTGATAAAAAAAAAAAAGCTAAAACTCTAAAGGAGCTGCAGGATTATGACACCAATGGCTAAAGTTTCATATGAAAAGCCCCAGACTTCCTGCTTTTGGTTGCATCAATCAGTCGAATCTTGCATGTAGGCCACAGGTTTAATAAGATGTTTGAAAACGAATCTATGATGCCAGACTGGGACAGTTTCTGATTGTGTTTCTGCAGGATTTGGGAACATCTCTCCCCACACCGAGGGAGGGAGAATATTCTGTATCATCTACGCTCTGCTGGGAATACCGCTGTTTGGTTTCCTCTTGGCAGGTGTAGGTGATCAGCTTGGCACCATCTTCGGGAAGGGAATCGCCAGGGTGGAGAAAATGTTTGTGGTGAGTCTGAGAACCGCTCCAGCTGAAAATATTAGAAATGTTGCAACTTTGGTTCCTAATCGAACCGAGTCTAGTGGACTATCAGGTATGAAGACACCCAACAAAATGATCAAGTTTGGTTGACCAACCATCAAAGAAAAATCAAACACACAAAGAAAACAAGGGCAGAACTAAATGTCCTTACCGAACAAACATGGATGTATTTTTTTTTAACAACTTTCCTCCTTATGGCTGGTGATGTGACAGATCTCAGCCTGTAAATAATGACAGGAGCTAAATGTGGTTCCTTCCCCCTGCAGCACTGGGCCATCAGCCAGACCAAGATCCGAGTGATATCCACGCTGCTGTTTGTCCTGTTCGGCTGCCTGCTGCTGGTGGCGCTGCCGGCGGCCATCTTTAAACACATCGAGGGCTGGTCTGCGCTGGAGTCCCTCTACTTTGTGGTCATCACCTTGACCACCATCGGGTTTGGAGACTTTGTGGCAGGTGAATCAGACAAACTCTCTGTAAAGTTGTTGTTTTCTCTGGGTCGTGACAGCAGGTTTGATCGGTGTGGCTTTGTGTCCAGGTGGGTCAGACATAGAGTACCTGGACTATTACAAACCGCTGGTTTGGTTCTGGATTCTGGTGGGACTGGCCTACTTCGCTGCTATCCTCAGCATGATAGGAGACTGGCTCCGAGCCATCTCCAGGAGGACAAAAGAAGAGGTATTCAATGTAAATACCCTGGCAAAACCATTCAAACCCCATAAACCTTCATTTCCCCATTTTTGTGACTTTGCAGACACAATATTCAGTGGATTTAATTACTGCTTCAGGTGACAGACTAACACAAAGGAGGGCATCACAGTGGAACTATAATGATACATGTTTTTAAAACGTATTTTACAAATAAAAAAGTGGCATGCACATGTAAATATCCTCCTTTTCTTTAATTTTACTAAACAAAATTCAATGCAAATGATGGCCTTTGGAGGCTGCGTGATTAGTAAACAGGTTCTGAGCACTGTAAAACATTTGAAGGTGGTTTAACTTGAAACTGAAAATCCACCTGCTGCCCTGAAAATGTAATTTAAATCAA